GCTGGTGCTGCATACTCTACACAGATCGTGTGTAGGCTGTAAACATTGCTCTGAACGCATCCATGTCTGGATTCCACAAAGTTGTCCTGATGCTCGTCAGCTTTCCATGTGCTGCTGAAGTAATTATATTGATGTGTGCTTCTGGAGAGAACTTCTATCTCCAGAAGCTTATTTTTTTAATATATGTTTATTTCAATATATTTTCCTCTCACTGATCTCATTTAGATTCCTCAACTGCATTATATATTATTCCCTCTGGTCTTTTTGCCTTTTGTTCGACCAGAGCTGCAATTGAGAGAGAGAGAGAGAGAGAGAGAGAGAGAGAGAGAGAGAGAGAGAGAGAGAGAGAGAGAGAGAGAGAGAGAGAGAGAGAGAGAGAGAGAGAGAGAGAGAGAAAGGGGAAGAGGCAGGCCCTATTGTGCCTGACTCCAAAGAAATATATTTTTTTTAAGAAACATGACCTAAGTTGATTTTTCTAATATTAAATAAAATGTTTATTTGTATGACCATAGTAAGTTCACAATCAAGAATTAATCAAATTATTGAAATCTATAATCTTTGCTTTTAGCTTAAAAAATGTTTGATGCTTCTGTGAACATCTGATTCAATAGTTCGATATGAAGTGCTCGATGTTCAGAACATCTATGAACACTCACTCAGTTTCATTTACCCGGTGACAGGCTGTGCATCGAGCTTCTCAACACAGCAAAGTGAATCGACATTTCGATACCGCGAGAGTGACAGGCGTTTCAAGATGCAAAACAAATAGGGTTTCAGCCAATCAGCTTTTAGGCACACACAAGTGCGCGTACACACGTCTTCAGCGAAGGATTAAATGTGTATAACTGGACATTTTTGTGCGTTTTCTCCGTGAGATTTTCGACTATTTTATTCGTTTGATTACAGTGTTATTCAAGTGTACTTTCAGATATCTTCTATTTCTTGTTTTCCTATTTCCGTGTATCTCTTGTCAGTGTTGCTATCTTTGTCTCTTGTCAGTGTTATCTTTGTCTCTTTACAGTGTTGTTATCTGTGTCTCCTGTCAGTGTTGCTATCTTATCAAGGCCCTTGTCAGTGTTGTCATATCCGTGCCATAATTAAACTTACAGAACTATACTTATATTTCAGTACCTTTCCCATTACACCAATGCACGGTTCTCCATATTATATGAACATAGGAGTGAATGACTATGTAGAAGGCTGGTCAACCCATGCGAGGCACCTCTTCTCGCTCATATATGTCTAACCGATACTTGAAACTTGCCAGTGAGTTTGCTACTATAATGTTACTTGAGAATTTATATAGTGCATCTGCAATCCTATTTCCGAGCAAGAGTTTGCCTATTTCTACTCCAACCCCCCCCCCCCCCTCCTCTCTGGCCTCCGCGAGTTCATTTATTCCTATACCCTGAAGTCTCCATTGCTTCATTTTCTCACATTTATCAGCTCCCTTTTCTTTATTCCCTTGTCTCTACTTTCCTCGACATCTCACCTTCCCCCCCCATCCTTTCTCCAGCTAGTGTGGTGATAAACATAAGCAGACAGTAAGTGAGGATAACCAGAATACTATGTATACATAATGGACCCAAATGCCCATTCATTCCGGCCCTGTCACAGAGGGCCAACTAGAGGAAGGATGGGGAGTGTGTTATCCATAGTTTAAGGGGGCAGAAGGGAATAATGGGGAAGGGAAAGACTTGGAGGATGGTTGTGTGAGAAAAAGGTGAAATTCGTCATTTTGTGTGTTGTGTGTATGGGGAGATTTGAGGGGGACTGGTAGTGGCCATAATCTGAAGGACAACTGAGAAAGTGGGGAAATGAAGGTCTAAAGAGGGGAATCGAGTTCAAAGGAAGGATGGGAGGGAGGGGGGGGGGGTAACTGAAGTGTGAAGACCATGTTCCATAAAGGTGGAGGGGAAGACTTGAAGGGAGAGAGAATCACTGGATCAAGGGGAGCCCTGAACTGGGGAAGGGGGAGGGGGTAGAGGTGAAGGGTTGTTGGGGTGACATTTAGTGAGTGCAAGTGGTGTGGTTTGTAGCTGGAAGTAATGGGAGAGGGAAGGGATGGGGGTGGAGGGGGGAAGAGGAAAGGACGGGAGTAGACGGGAAAGAGGGGGGGATGAAGGACTCGTCTGGTGTGGGCCACAGACCGAGGTGAAACGGAAAGAGTTTTCAAAACAGTTTATTCACCTGACTGTACTTACCTGTCTATGGATTCTATGGATACTTGCAGGAGGTTGGCCGACAGCTCCTGGGTCCCTGCGCCTAACCTTTAGTCTGCTGGTATAAATGTTCTCGAGCGATGAAAGCTAGGCTGAAGGGGGGATGGAGGGTGTAGGGGTGGAGGAGGGTGGAGAAAGGCCAGTCCTTCTAGACCTTATCCATCGTGTAGAGATCGACTCCCGACCTTTTTTTCCGAACTAGTGACTTAAGGCATCTCGGGGAACGCCTCTATCCCTCCCATTATGAAGTTTATTTCCCCTTTGTAATAGAATGTCATTATCTTCCTAGTTTCTTTTCCTCGATTTGGATCCGAAAGTTGACGTTTGGGTAAAAATGTCGCCTGTTTTGTCTCTGTTGATTATCGCCTGAGTTTTAGAGGGTACGGGAGAGAGGAGAGGAAAGGGGAGTGGAAGGAAGAAGGAACTGGAGAGGAGATGAGGATTAGAAAGACAAGTGGAGGGAAGAGGGAAAAGACGTAGGAACAGGTAGATTGAAAAGAAGTGATGGTGGAAGATGAGGTGTGGAGAGGGAACTGGATGAAATAGAGTTTTGAGGAGAGAAGGGGATTGGAGATAGTTGAAAGGGATTGGAAGGGAACAAGAAATATTTGTGATATATAAAGGAAAATTGAGATATTAGAGAAGGAAGGAGGAAATATAAAGAGAAGGGTGGTTGGCGGTTGTGGAGTGGTGATTGGTGAGTGGTGGTTGGTGAGTGGTGAGTGGTGGTTGGTGAGTGGTGAGTGGTGGTTGGAAATAGAGTTGGGGACAGGTTTGATTGACTGGGAGGCTTGTCAGGCTGTGATCTCTTTTAACATTTATATTTTTGGAAATGTGTCGGTGAAAGGGAAGATATGTATACATATATTTATAATATAACAAAAACAGTGATACAAGAGACGGAGAGAACGAATTTTCATGAGTTAGGAAAAGAGACGCAGGTAACCTCAAACAAACACACTCTCAGCCCAAAGGCAAAGACAGACAACTGCATCCTGAAACACTCCACAGTGTAAACGTGAACTGTTTGTTTGCGTGTGTGTGTATGTACTCACCTAGTTGTATTCACCTAGGTGTGCTTGCGGGGGTTCAGTTCTGCTCTTTGGTCCCTCCTCTCAATAGTCAATCAACTGGTGTACAAATTCCTGAGCCTACTGGGCTCCATCATATACACATTTGAAACTGTGTATGGAGTCAGCCTCCACTGCATCACTACCTAATGCATTCCATCTGTTAACTATTCTGACACTGAAATTTTTTTTTCTAACGTCCCCGTGGCTCATTTGAGTACTCAGTCTCCACCTGTGTCCTCTTGTTCGCGTACCACCGTGTTAAACATTTTATCTTTATCTACCATGTCAATTCCTCTGAGAATTGTCTAGGTAGTGATCATATCTCCCCTTACTCTTCTGTATCCCAGTGTAGTGAGTCGCATTTCACGCAGCCTTTCCTCGTAACTCATGCCTCTTAGTTCTGGGACTAGCTTAGTGGTATACCTCTGAACTTTTTCCAGCTTCGTCTTGAGGTTGTGTGTGTATTCACCTATTTGTGCTTGCGGGGGTTGAGCTTTGGCTCTTTGGTCCCGCCTCTCAACTGGTGTACAGATTCCTGAGCCTACTGGGCTCTATCATAGCACTCATACTCAGTGTGTGTGTGTGTGTGTGTGTGTGTGTGTGTGTGTGTGTGTGTGTGTGTGTGTGTGTGTGTGTGTGTGTGTGTGTTTTAGAGATAAATATACCAAGTAGATATAATAGAGGGAAAAAATAGATTGGATAAAAAGGCGATCTACAAGAGCTAATAGCTCGATTCTGTAGGCACTTATAGTAAATAAACTCACGCACACACACTCCAACACAGTAAACACACCTTGGTGAGTACACTCAGATACACAAACACACAAATACGTGTGCACACCTCGACAATCTCCACAACAAACTGCGACAGCCACAAGGTGAAAAATACCCCGAGGATCTCCTGAGGATGAGTGCGAAGAGAAAATTGGAGGAGGAGGAGCAGGAGGAGGACAGGGGCTAAGGGGGTACCTGCGTCAGGGGATGGGCCATGGCAGAGGGAAGGGGAAGGACGGGGGACGTGGATGAAGGCACCTTCCTCCCCCTCCTATCCTCCCTGCTCATTCCTCCACCGAAAAAAAAAATGTCGAAGACTCCAATGCCACGCCTCAGCCACTGATAGTCGAAAGTCTTTGTTCATAAAAGGCCATTTTCGACTCTTTAAAGGATCCGGCGGGGAGCGGAATGAGAGGAGAGATATGCCTAACTATGCAAATGAGACGTTGAGCTTGGAATGCTTGTGAGGGGGGGGCGGCTGTGGTGGAGGAATTGTGAAGGGGGGGGGACAAGGCTGTGAGAGGGGTTGAAGGGTTAAGGGGGGGGGAGAGGGGCTGTGGTTGGAGTATAGAAGAGAGGTAGTGAAGTGGAATAGAGGGAGTAGAATGTATGAAGGGAAGCAGGAATATTAAAGCAGGCTAAGAAGAAAGTGGGAATAGGAAGAAGATAGGGGAAGACAACAAGTGAATTTGGGAAAGGTAAGAGGAACGTAGGTAATGGTGGTCGTATGCATGCAGGGAAAGGAGAGAATACGAAGGAAGGAAGGAGTGTGCACTCCACACAGCCAAGGTGCTTGACATGTGCATGTAATTACTTGGAAAACAAGACACTGTATGAAATTTTCAGGAGTGAATGACAGCTAAGCTAAGTGAGAGAGAGAGAGAGAGAGAGGCGGAGGCCTTGCACTGTGGTTTTTGAGGAAGAGTCATACGCTCATGCACATTTGCATAAAAGGGTCGGGGAGGATGCCATGATTTGGCCCGCAGAGGTGAGCCGCGCCGCTCCTGCAGCTGGGGCCGCTCCTGCTGCTGGGGCCGCTCCTGCTGCTGGGGCCCATGCAGCTGGGGCCGCTCCTGCTGCTGGGGCCGCTCCTGCAGCTGGGGCCGCTCCTGCTGCTGGGGTCGCTCCTGCTGCTGGGGCCCATGCAGCTGGGGCCGCTCTTGCTGCTGGGGCCGCTCCTGCTGCTGGGGCCGCTCCTGCAGCTGGGGCCGCTCCTGCTGCTGCGCCCGTTGGTGCTTACGTCGGTAATGTCACTAGTGATGCTTCCTCCTGCTGCTGTTGGTATGGGCGTCACCCCCCTGCTGCTGGTATGGCCGCCACGACCCCCTTTGCTGTGGCGGTGGCACCTTGTTTGCTGCTGCTAATGCGCTTATACTCACGCGCTGAAGCTGACTCGCTCTGATGTTGCCACCGTTACCTTGGCTGGACCTGGTTATCCTTGCACGGCAACTTATGAATCTCTTCAGCTGCTGCTGTTTAATGTAGCGGTGAACAGTTGTTGCTACTTTTGTTGCAGTTGCTATTGATGATGATTTTGTTCCTGATTTTCTTGCTGCTGTTGTTACTTCTGGTGTTGATCTTGTTACAGATTTTGCTGCTGAAATCTGCTGTCAAAAGCAGGCAACTCTTTCGTCTCCGGTTGAGGCATTGCTCAGTCTTATACATTGAGTAATGAACACCGTGATTGATATGTGATAATATATTTATTAAAATTCCTTCACTATTTAAAATTGGGATTTTTTTAAATTGAGAAAATGCATGATATACAAACCGAATATGGGATAAATCCATGGTGGTATTAGTAAATTCAGGGATGAAATCCCTGCCAATTTCGGAGGCCAGTTATGGAAGCATTTTTATAAAATGGTCCAAAGTAAATATATATATATATATATATATATATATATATATATATATATATATATATATATATATATATATATATATATATATATATATATATATATATATATATATAATATATATTATAAACTGCGCTAGATGTGTATTATTATACATTTTGATTTAACGTTGCTAATTTTGTTTTCTAAATAATTCTATAATGATAATTGGCATTTTGCTATGATTTTACTATCTTTTTACTATTAAATTTTTCAATAAAGCAAACATTGGTGAATAAAAAATAAAGTGATATAAATGGATCATAAATGCTTTTCTCACTTTGGACACGGTATTGAATAATTTAAGAATTTAAACATTGTGCAGTCATAATTATTGTAATTATATCTTATATAATTCTTTCCTCACAACACTGACATGTTATTCTTACCAAAAAACAATAAAATGCTAATATATTTTTTCGTCTTTATAATATTAATAAAAAATCGAGGCTAAGAAATATAGTAGCCAAGCAGGTCAATTAATGTTTCACTAAATACAAGATAAAAACTGTGGAATAAATTCATAATATTACTAACCAACCACAACGGTCAGAGGTGATAAATTCCGCAAGCGACGCAGACAGCGAAAACATAAGAGCATCACCAGTGGCACAACAACAACATCTGATTCAAGCATGTCGAATCCGAACATGTTCGAGCCGCGACCAACGAGGATTGATGATTCCTGGATCACTTGTCTATAGAAACAAATGTTCCAGAGTGCTTTCCAGGCGGCGAGCAGTCCAGTTTAGTATAACGTGTTGGAATAGCGAATGGAGGACGGGTTGTGGAGAGAGAGAGAGAGAGAGAGAGAGAGAGAGAGAGAGAGAGAGAGAGAGAGAGAGAGAGAGAGAGAGAGAGAGAGAGTGATGGAAGTCATCTAGTTTGAAACATATCCACCACATCATACGCATCACACTGCCACTGATGCTTCACATTTATCTTTGTTGATTTTCTGAATTAATGCAATAATGAGTTATTAATTTACATTATAAATACCTTCGTCACTTATTATTTCCGCATCGGTCGACGATATTAACCTCAATAATGCAATTTATAAAACAAAAAACGTTTCTCAAAACTTATTTAAATAAATAAGCTTCCTTTAAAATAAATTTTACCGACTTGTTTTAGCATGTATTATTAAAGGTTCTTTTATTTGTACACAGCTGCTCGAATATTAATTTATGATAATGTCATACACGAGCGCATCTTAACGCCATTGTTTTGCTTCACGCTTCTTTCGTACGTCCAGGGCCAAGTTACAGTCTGTGAAGTTATATCTTTCTCTCTTCCTCCTTCCTCACTTCTTCCTATGTATAACTACAGTTCAAGACTCATTATACATTTACGGGCTCCCCATAGCCCGTGCTACTTGGAACTTTTTGATCTCTGTAGCTTAATCTAAAACAACATCATCATCATACAACCGCTAGTGCATCAGCTTCGAACCAGCGCTACAAAAACATCTCACACACACTAGTAACTTCGAGTGTGATGTAGCGACACACTAGCAACTGGCCGCGCACTTTCCAAGAAGGATAGACAGCATAACTCCATTAACCACAATGAATATTGAATGCACCTCGTGCCACTCTAGGAGACTTCAAAAACCACTGCGACCCGTAGAGGGGGTGGTAGAGGATCTTTACTGCCGACCCAAGCTACTGTGGTCCAAGGCCCCACCTGCACCATGTTGCATGGGGTCAAGTTTCTCCTCAGGGAGAACCTCGTTCTCTCCACCGCCGAGATTTTAGCACAAATCTCCGCCACCGCCCGACATCCTGGAGACAAGAGAGGGTGTTCACTTGCTCTTCTCCAGCGATTTGGACCTTGAGAAGTTATACACCGCCACCCCCACGACCACCCCTGCTAGACGCCGGCCTCTCCCTCACACCACCACGACGCTACCTGGCGGACAGGACCGTTTTCATCAAGAATATCAGCACATGGATATGTGCTAATATTCCGCCTATAGGGCGCCTGACAGCTGGGTGGACAGCGCTTCGGATTCGTAGTCCTGAGGTTCCGGGTTCGATCCCCGGTGGAGACAAAGGGGCTAAATGTTTCTTTCACCTTGATGCCCCTGTTACCCAGCAGTAAATAGGTACCTGGGAGTTAGACAGCTGCTACGGGCTGCTTCCTGAGGGTGTGTAACAAAAAGGAGGCCTGTTCGAGGACCGGACCGCGGGGATGCTAAGCCCCGAAATCATCTCAAGATAACCTCAAGAAGATGGATCAACCACCGCGACGACATCTTCGCCAGCATCAACGTTCAGAACCCGACGCTGACAACGGTAGCGGTCAAGACCATCTCCAACGCCGACGTCAGCGGCAGACCATCACTGAAGGTGACCTTCACCACAGCGACCCACGCCATGGACTACAGACTTAAGTGCGCAGGAATCACTATACTACCCACCCAAGTGACCAAGGAACGCTTCAGGGAACTCCGGCAGTCCTTCAAGTGCTACCAATACTCCTACTACACCATGAAGTGCAGAGATGCAGCCTTTACGCCCAGGAACATCACTACACATCCTCCCACCGACGCTGCCTGCTCTGCAATGGCCCACTCTTTGCAGTCTCACCTGACTGTCTCCTCCAGCAGAAGGAAATCCAAAAGACGACGGCTGCCGCTTCCTCTACCACCATACCTCGACCAGCAAACCCACTCCCACCGAACACACATGTGACTCCCACACCACCGCCCGGCCCCTGGGGACCGGGCGACCACACCACCTCTGACCACATCACCACCGGCCTCGCCTGCAGCCTTCACCAAGATCACTTTTCTGACCGTCCTCCTTCACCTCGCCGACAAAATGGTGGGAAACAACATTACCCGCTACATCCACGTCATCAACAGGCTGCTCGTCGCGAATGAACTTCCAACAGCTGCTGTACCCGATGACCTTCCATCACTGCTACCGGACCCCTGAGCCGACCCCCAGAGAGCCCTCACCATCCGGCCACAGCGACTCCACAGTCCCCGAGCTTGTCCCACTGACAGGGTCGGCAGCAGCCCCCCCCCCCGGGACAGCTGACCAGGACGATGAGGCCGACTCCTAAGACGAAACTAAGGAAGTTGACCAAGATGACTCGACCGACTTCTGTGCTTCAGCCGATGTCACCGGCTCTCCCGCCCGTCATGCGGCCATTCGGACACCATCTTTCCCTCCAGGTCCCACATGGGCACCAACCAGATTGACAGGCTCCCATGCTGCCTCCTCCGGATGTATCCGACATGGCCGCGCATTTTCCAAGGAGGACAGACAGCATAACTCCATAATCCACAATGACTACTGGGAATACAAGTGCAGGGAAGCAGGACGAATCATTCGTATGGTCGTCCCTCACGAACGCCTCGACCACCTCTGCGACTACGACACCTTGAAGAAGGAAATTCGACCAGACTACCAACATCAGGGAACTGGGATTAGGAAACCAGTCCTCTTTTAACACCCGAACAACTCTCCCTAGACCGGCCAGCCCGCCGATATCCCTGCTGACTCCTGTGGCACTCAGCTGTGAGTGATGTGTGTACCCCATCAATTCACCGGTCTGACCAGCCTTATGGGCTTGGATTGGAGTGGCGCGTCTACGGACCCCATCCCCACATCTTTAGTACCAGCTATTGATACTGATAATAGCTCCAAAGTGTTTCCACTTATGGGCTCACCATAGCCCGTGGTACATGGAAATTTTGTTCCAATAGTTGAGACTAAAATAAAACAACATCATACAAATCATAATTATGATATGTATGATGTTGATATCATACAAATCGTACAAAATCTAATTATACTCCTTGATACTGCCTTCCCTACACTCCCAGGTCTGTTCACATCTCCTGAGGTTCTGTACTTCCGGCTGCTTCCACTTCGACATTCATTCATCGTTGTAATTGTATTCCCCTACAACGTATTTGTCAATCCTTCCTTACACACTCTATTCTTTATGCTCCTCTCAAACAACCCACGTATTAAACTTATATCCATACGTTGCTCCTGCTTCTCTGGCACGTATTCCATCTCCTCTACCCTAATACAGATCTCACCTTCCCAACTCATCACCTATACCTTCATTTTCCCGCTCCCTTTTCTCACATGTCCGCTCCTTTCACTATCTTATCTTTCTCCTTTTTTCCTTCTATTCTTCAAAACACTTTTCGAAATATTTCCTTAACTTCTTTTTTATTATACCTCACTTTCTCCCTATCCACTCTTCTCCTTTCACTTGATTTCTCTCTCTGCTTTCCTCCTGCTCCTCTTTCTTACTCTCGTCCCTCCCTGCAGGATACTCCAGGGAGGACATTAGCTCTTGCTCAGCTTTCACAAATTATACTCATAAATAGCATATCCAGCTCTCTCGTTACTTTGAGTACAACCACTAACGATACATTGAATCGCATATTCAACTCTCGTTATCCTAAATACAGTATAAGTACTAACGATACAGCGAATCACATACCCAGCTCATCCTACTCAGATCACTGATCAACTCTCGTTAAGCAGATCATATATCCATCTTATGTTAGTTTTATCCGAGCATCAAAGTAACGATATTGCGAATCACATCGAGCTGACACTATCGTGAATACATCTAATATATTTTCAGCTAGTTGTCTCTTCGTACGTGACCTGTGAATGGCAGGGTTAAGATGACTCTCAAGCACATGAATTCTTTATGAATAAGACTTGAGC